AAGAAAGACTTGGTGATCTACTTCTGAAAAATCAGCTATTGAAAACCTTAAGGAACACAGTTCTACTCTGACACATATCGAAGAAGAAAATCTGCACTCTTAGGAGTGAAAGACAAAATTTTATTGAGGAATAATACAGCTCCAACTGGGCAGCACAAAGTAAAAATACAAAGCACTCCACAGTTCAAGCAGGAGAGAGAGGTCTATATACATAGAGAACAAAGGAAAGGTAGAAGGTTAATGTTTGATTAAGATCAACTTCAGCTTTAAGTCCTTTGAAATGTAAAAGTCGGCCACTTGGCCAGAAGGGAGTGAGTTACCACCTAGGTGAGTGGCACTAGCCAGTTTGGTGATACACAATTGCAGTCATGAACACATTTTTTCCAGGTAACGAAATGTGTACATCTTGACACATTCTTCCCATGAAAAAATGGTTTACATCCTGATGTCTTGCTTCCTGGGAATGCTTGTTGGCCCCATCATTCTTTTTGTCTGACATGAGTGCCTCTAGTTTGAAACTTCTCCATTTACACACACATGAGGTCGCCATGAGTCAGAACTGATTCAATGACAACTGGTTACTGGTTACTCTGTCCTTATTAAGATTTCAGATCAGATGTCATTTCTCAAAGACACCTCTCTCCACCACCATGCTGTCTAACACACACAGTATTCTCTATCCCAAAAGAGCTCTTTATGTCACTGTTGTGGATTAAAATTATGCCCCTCCAATATATACATTGGAATCCTAACCCCTACACTTGTGCATGTAATCCTGTTTGGAAATAGGATTTTCTTTGCTATTTTAATTAGATCATACCTGAGTAGGGTGGGTTCTAAATCTAATCACTTATGTGTTATAAAAACAACAGATTAGACACTGAGATACACACACCCTGGGAGGAAGACAGAGGTTATCAGACATGGAGGCAGATGAATCTATAAGCCCAGGAACTCCAAGGATTGCTAGCTACTGTTGTTGTTAGGTGTCATCGAGTCGGTTCTAACTCATAGCGACCCTATGTACAACAGAAGGAAACAGCCCAGTCCTCCACCATCCTCACATTCATTACTATGTTTGAGCCAGCTACTAGAAGCTGAAATAGACAAGAAAGGACCTCCCCCTAGAACACCTCCCCCTGAATTCAGACTTTTAGCCTCCTGAACTGTGAGAAATAATTGTCTGCTCTTTAAAGCCACCCACTTGTGGTATTTCTGTATGGCCTCACTAGGTAACTAAGACAATCATTTATACTCTCGGAGATTTTCTTAGTCATTTACTTGCATGCTTACTTTCTGCCCTGTCTCACTAGAATGTAAGGATGCTGTCTGTCTACTTCTCCATTGTATCCCTAGTTTATAGCAGAGTATCTGTCCCACAGTAGGGGAATGAGTGAATGAATGAATGAAAGTGAATGAAGCTAAAAAAATCTTTTACATGAACTGGTCCAGAATAACACCTAAAATACCTTCCAATATAATATGCTATATTTCTGAAAAGTTCACTGATGAGTTCCAGATTATAAGTACTCAGAACAGTTTTTATAGCCTCAGGAAAAGCCATTTCCAAGACCAGGAGAGCTGCAGAATACAAAGGTTACACTTTCCACTGATCACTGAAGGCCCCTACCAATAATCAGAGATTAACCCGTTGCTGTTGAGTTGGTTCCGACTCATAGCGACCCTGTAGGACAGAATAGGACTGCCTCATAGTTTCCAAGGAGTGCCTGGTGGATTTCAACTGCTGACCTTTTTGTTAGCAGCCGTAGTTCTTAACCATGATGCCACTAAGGTTTCCAAAATCAGAGATTACTTGGATGAAATTATACAGTAAAACTGGCAAAAGCCGGAATCTGTGTCAGGTTGAAACCTGTGGAAGAAAGAAAATTCAAATATTTTCCACTAAATAGAGAGCAATAGAAAAGTGGTGACTGCACCCTGTCAAAGGTGGAAACTTGCAAGACCCGGAACAGCAAGGCAGTCCTGTGGAGTTCCTGCTCTCACAGTTTTCACTGTAGTAGTTCCATTGGGCCTCTAATTGTCCTCAATCTTTTCCTTTTGCAAGCTGACCAAATTTTGTCACTCTTTTATGCAGTGCCTCATCATCACATGAAGCCTGAATTGTCTCACCTGCCACAAAACCAAAATATTCAAGACATTCCTCTTGGCGTTACCAGGTAAGAAGCTAGGAAGCCCTTGCTGAGTCCCAAGTTTGGCGGTCAGACCATGTATTGTCTCAGAAGATGACTCATCAAGGCGTCCTTAGAAAACAGAGAAATCCTCAGCCTTTGATTATGAAGCCTGGAATTAGGCCCAAAGCAGTCCCGTGAATCACGCTATTGAAGCTGACAGCATTGTCCTTCCTGCACTTTATAATTGAGTGATTGAGTGTTAGAAAAGTTTGGGGGATTTTAAGACTTGAATGTACTCCAAGGATTAGCTGGAATGGTTGCTCATCAATCTGGTAAGAAAAGTTGGCTGTTTCTGACTATTTTCAGTTGATTACCATGCTGAAGCTTACAATGGCTTTTGTATAACACTTTGCAGATGGCCGGGAGTTGAAAGTTGCATTATCTGACTAAATATTTGCTTGATCAGGTCATCATAACAACTGTCATCTCAACTAAAACTTGAGGAAGTGAAGACTCAGGCTGGTTACTCTTTGACCAAGGCCACTGTAAATTAATGGAGCCTTCCTTAAAATAAAATCCCATCCATTGCAATCCAGTTGATTCTGACTCATTATAACCCTATAGGACAGAGTAGAGTTGCCCCACAGGGTTTCCAAGCCTGTAAGTCTTTACAGAAGCCGACTGCTACATCTTTCTCCCACGGTGAGGCAGGTGGGTTCAAACCGCCAACCTTTTGGTTCATAGCTGAGCACTGTAAACATCATGACACCAGGGCTCCTTAAAATAAATTCCAAGACATCCAAAATTAGCACAAGTCCTTCATGATCCCAGAGTTCTGGCCAGTTGCTCTGGTCTTTGTGTCACTGTCTTCTCACGCTCTGCACTCCAGCCTCATCAGATGTTTCTGCTACCTTGACGTGCATATTGTCACTGAATGCAGGGCATTTGCACATGCTGTTCCTCTGCCTATAACATGTCTTCTCATATTCACCTCCTCTACCCACTCCCGACTCCTATTCATTCATCAAATCCCAGCTTAAAAACACATAAATGCAGGAGATAGTTTTGATCCATATCCCTTCCCCAGAATGAATAAATGAGGCTCAGAAAGGCTGAGCCCTTTATCACTGAAGTCAAGTCTGACTCCAAAGCTCAAGCACTTCTCATTAGCTCATCCTGCCTATAATGACTTGAAATACAGCACATAGATCCTTACTCACTCTAGTGCCTGCCTGTAGCTAGCATTGTTGTTGTTAGTTGCCACTGAAATGACTCTGAGTCATAGCAGCCCCATGTACAACAGAACTGAATGCTGCCCAGTTCTGCACCATCTTCACAATCATTGGTATGCTTGAGTCTGTTGTGGTTGCTGTGTATTTTGAGTGCTTCCAACCTAGAGGGCTCATCTTATAGCACTGTATCGAACAATAGTCTGTTGTGATCCTAAAGGTTTTAATTGGCTAATTTTTGGTAGTAGATCTGCAGGCCTCTCTTCCCAGTCTGTCTTACTCAGGAAGCTCTGCTGAAACCTGTCAACCATGGGTGACCGTGCAGGTATTTGAAATATGGCTATCATAGCTTCTAGCATCATAGCAACATGGAAGCCACCACTGCAGGACAAACTGACAGACGGGTGGTAGCTAGCTAGGATGCTACCTTTCGTCTGTACATTAATATTTACTGTGAGTGTACCATCTTTGTCTCAGAATAGAGTAGTGATTAGAAGGGGCACAATGGAGTCAGCCTGTCTGGCTTCATCATCAGTAAACTGTCTGACCTTGGGCAACCACTCTCTTCTTACACTGGAAAAACATAGAGCAGAACCAGGCCCATCCTAAGTGCTCAGTAAATGTCAGCTCTCATCGTTACTGCCCTGGGCATCAGAGTCAGGATCACCATTCCCCACTCCTTTCCCCTTCCTAACTGACTTGCCTTATCCTATTTTGCACCTTCAGTAATTTCATTCTCACTCTTTGACCTGTGGGTATTAGAACTATGGCTTTAAAATTCTTCTTCGGCTGTGTTATGGATTGTGTCTTCCAAAAATATGGGTAGTAAATCCTAACCTCTATACCTGTGATTATAATCCCGTTTGGGAATGGGTTGTCTTTATTATGTTAATGAGGCAGAATGAGTGTAGGGTGTATTTTGAGTCAATCTCTTCTGAGATATAAAAGAGATTAAACAACAAGCTAGGAAGCAGAGATGGCGTAGAAAGATACCATGCCACATGAAGATCGCCAAGGAGCCAAGGAGGAGAAGCTGAAGAGACAAGGCCCTTCCCCCAGAGCTGACAGAGAGAGAAAGCCTTCCCCTAGAGCTTTCGCCCTGAATTCAGACTTCTAGCTTCCTAAACTGTGAGAAAATAAATTTCTGTCTGTTAAAGCTACCCATTTGTGGTATTTCTGTTATAGCAGCACTAGATAACTAAGACAGTTCCCTTCTTGGCCTTTTCCCCTAACTGAGTCCTAAATGCTGGTATTCCTCAGGGCCTGTCTGAGGTCCTCTTCTCTATCACTGAAGGCGTGTCCAATCTCATGCATCCCCATAGTGTCAAATGCCAAGCATATGTTGATAATTCCCAAATTTCTATTTTCTGCCCAAACCACCTCTTTGGGCTCCAAACCCATATTCTAATCTCCCAGTGGACAGGTCTCCCTCGGATAGGTCAAAGTCATCTCAAACTCATCATGTTGAAAATTTAACTCTTCATTTCTACTCTCATTCTCAGCACTATCCAACACTATCCTCCTGCAAACTTTCTCACCTCACTAAATGCTAAGTTGTCTTTTGCCTCTTCAGTCTTCCCATACAATCCATTTCCAAAATTCTGCTTCCTAAACATGTCTTGAATCTATCTATTTCTCCCCATTTGCTCAGCCCCCAAAATAGAGCAGCCACCATCAACTCTTGCCTGGACTAATGCGATATAACCATATTCAATATCCATCCATGTTGAACTACTCGTTGGTCTCTTGCAGAATAGGCCATGCTTCCTTCCCTCAAAGGAGCCCTGGTGGCACAGTGGTTAAAAAGCTCAGCAACTAACTGAAAGTTCAGCAATTCAAACCCACCAGCTACTCTTATGGGTCGGTTCTACTCTGTCCTATAGGGTCACTGTGAGTCGGAATCAACTTGACAGCAATGGGTTTCCTTGCCTCAGAGGTCCCTGGGTGGCACAAATGGTTTGTGCTTGACTACTAACTTAAAGGTTGGCAGTTCAAACCCACCAGTGGTGTCTCAGAAGAAAGGCCTGGCAATCTGCTTTCTTAAAAATTACAGCTAAGAAAACCCTAGGGAGCACAGTTCTATTCTGTAACACATGGGGTTGCCCTAAGTCAGAACTGACTCAACAGCAACTGGTTACTGGTTGGTTGAGATGGTTGAGACCTAGAATGTCCTCAGAGGATATTCCTATTCTATCAACATTTTCTAAAACTCCTGAGAAATTAGGGCAGCAACATTTTGCTACTCATGTTTTCTCTCCCCAAACATTTAATGATTGTACACAGGCTCCTAGTAAAGGAATCCTATTTTTAACAGTCAAAGGCTTGGTGTCAGTGGAAATCTGACCAGTGAAGACAGCTCAGTGTGGTACTGCATAATCTCCTAGCAATTTTGTCTACAAAGCAAGCTGCTGGGCCCCAGGCTTCCATGTAGATAACAAAAACCAGATAAACACTCTATTGATTTCATTGGTGCTAGAAAAAGGTTAGGTTTCATTTAATTAACCCAGAGGCCTTAGTCAATCGTACAATCCTTGGTATCAAGGATGTTCCGTGTAATTAGAGTTAACTGTAGTAGCACCTGGGGCTTATTATGGCAATGCTGACCACAACAAAAAATGAACCAGAAAATTCGAGCTCAGTGTTGATCCTGGTGAAGCCATTGATGAACAGTCTCAGTAGTGTTCAGTTTTGTGTTTGTTTAGAAATGCACGTTGGTTTTTTCATTACTCCATATTTTTTATAATCCCCCTTTTTGATAAGTTTCCTTGTAATAAGCCACAGATTTCTTACCTAGTTCACATTTCAAGGAGAAATAAAATAATTTCTGTACTCTTTTTCCTTGCTATGGTTGACTCGTCCTCAACTGGTAGATAGTGCCTATAGAATATGAGCTACAACCAATCATATATGATTTTCTTTGGTTACTGTAGCTGCAAGGCCAGTCTAACTTCATGGCTTCCAAAAGGAAAGAATCATAATACGTGCTTATTGAAATGACAAGGGGACCTTATATGGGTTCATCAAATTTTTCCCTATCTAATGCATGCCAGTCTTAAGAAAACGAGGGAAAGAATGAGCCTCTTACTGCCTTACAAAACAGATGATACTTCTAGCATATCCAGCAAAACATAACGCGCTTTATAGAAATAACTTCAGGCCATTATCATTGACCTTGACTCTGAATAGAGTTCTACCCACAAGGGAAAATACTAACATTCTTTCCATTCTAACATGATCTTTAGCTCTTCATTCACGGGGAGCAACCACAGCATGCAAAGCAAAGGTAAGAGCACTTAAGGATTAAAAACCAAACAGGTAAGTCACCATACTACAATACTCCCACACTGTGACTTAACTTTTGTGAACCTCAAAGTTTCTGAGCTGACATGTATAAATGTAATTAGTTCATTTTCGTTGGCAATTAGTATTCCATTGTGTAAATATAATACAATTTTTATCCATAATTAAATATAATCACTTAGGTAGCTTCCATTTTTTACTCTTATGAATAATGCTGCAATGAGTATTACTGTCTGTATGTTCCCATGTGTATACTATGATAATTTCTCTGGCGTATATCTAAGAGTGAAATTGCTGAGGCTTAGGATATGCATCTCTTCAATTGTACCGGGTGTATTTTCCAAAGTAGACATATCAGTTAGTCTCACCAGCAATTTATGAGTCACCCTTGTTCTTAAGTCTCTCCAATAGTTGTTCTTGACAATCTTTTAATTTTTGCCAATCCATTGGGTATAAAATAGATTTATCTTAAGAAAAATCTAGCTAATAGAGAAAATAAATTCAACTCCTCATGCTAATTGATTGTAAAGATAAAATCAAAAGGATGCCTTTTGTGGAGATATCTATAACATCATATACATGGCGTTTGTGTTATGATGTATTGGTAGCGGTGGTGGGCTTTGATACTATTCCCATTATTTTGTCCAAACTAGATCTGTCATGTTCATTTGTCTTCCTTTATTTACTTTATATGCCATGGAGATTCTGGGTTTGGGTCTAGCCCTGTAGTCTCTGTTGAGAGAGAGGGCTTGGGCTGGAGGATGAAGATCCCACAGGGAATAGTAAGAAAGATGAGGGCTCTACTACCCTTGGTCCCAATTTCTGCCTCTCTCCCTACAACGGGGTGCCATGAGCAAGTTAATTCTTGGAGCTTTGCCCCACCACCCATAAAATTCAAATAATAATACTAACTCACACGATTGTTTGGGGGATTAATGATATAGTACATATATATCTTATGCACACTCCAAGGAGCAATGGTAGTTCAGTGGTAGAATTCTCATTTTCCATGCAGAAGACAATATGTCTTACATACATCTATTACCTGTCTGTCATTGGAGGCTTGCATGTTGCTATAATGCTAAACAGGTTTCAGCAGAGCTTCCCGACTAAGACAGACTAGGAAGAAATTCTTGGTGGTCTATTTCCGAAAAATCAGCCAGTGAAAACCCTATGGATCACAACAGTCCAATCCCGCTGTGCATGGGGTCACCATGAGTTGGGGTCTGACTCAACAGCAGCACACAACACACACACACAGTCCCCTGTTTGACACATAGTCATCAGCTGATACATTTTAATACCCTTCCTTCTTTTCTACATCCCCTTCCTTCTCCAGAGACTTCCTACCCCAGTCACCTCATTAGGCCTAAGAGTGACCTTCCTGGTCTCCATCATGTCCCATTTTTCTTCTGTCGGGTGCCATCTGGGCCTTATGTTGGAAAACCAATCTGATAAACTCATTCCCACTAATGTACATGTGGTTAATAAGAGTTTCTCATGAGAAGACTCCTCTTTAAAAATAAGGCAGCCAAAGGGGGTTGTGATTAATCCAGTGGACTCAATCCTTAAGAATCAAATGTCTGAAACAGCCATCCTAGAGACTAGACTAGTGTTTGAGGATGAAAGCAGCTGAAGTATCCAGCTGGAATGTCTAGAAAGGGCATTACTTACGGGGGTTCTGAGGATGTATCACAGGGATGGAGAAGCAGAAAAGAAGCTTAGAAAAGAATTTGGAACCTAAACTTGAAAGACAAAATCATGCACAAATAAAAAAATAAAGAGCAATTCAAGACTGGAACAGAAGTGTTAGTGAGGTTGGTGGCCTTAACAGACACGAGTCGGATCAAGAAGTCTAGGATTGCGAGTGGACAGTTTGTGCTCGGATCTTTTATTTATTTTATTTTATTTTTATTGTACCTTAGATGAAGGTTTACAGAGCAAACTAGTTTCTCATTGAACAATTAATACAAATATTGTTTTGTGACATCAGTTGCCAACCCCACTACATGTCAACACTCTCCCCTTCTCGACCTTGGGTTCCCCATTACCAGCTTTCCTGTCCCCTCCTGCCTTCTCGTCCTTGCCCCTGGGCTGGTGGGCCCATTTAGCCTCATTTTGTTTTATGGGCCTGTCTAATCTTTGACTAAAGGGTAAACCTCAGGAGTGACTTTATGACTGAGCTACAAGGATGTTGGGGGCCATACTCTCAGGGCTTCTCCAGTCTCTGTCAGACCAGTAAGTTTGATTTTTTTTTTTTTTTCCTGAGTTAGAATTTTGTTTTACATTTTTCTCCAGCTCTGTCCAGGACCTTCTATTGTAATCCCTGCCAGAGCAGTTGGTGGTGGTAGCCGGGCACCACCTAGCCGTGCTGGACTATGTCTGGTGGAGGCTGTGATAGCTGTGGTCCTTTAGTCCTTTGGACTAATCTTTCCCTTGTGCCTTTGGTTTTCTTCATTCTCCCTTGCTCCAGAAGAGGTGAGAACAGTGGAGTATCTTAGATGGCTGTTGACAAGTTTTTAAGACCCCAGATGTGACTCATCAAAGTAGAATGTAGAACATTTTCTTTGTAAACTATGTTATGCCAATTGAGCTAGATGTTCCCTGGGACCATGGTCCTCACAGCCTTCAGCCCAGTAATTCGGTTCCTCAGGGAGTTTGTGTGCTGGGATCTTTTAGATTGTCCTCTACTCATTGCAGAGGAACTTGGTTGCTTCAAGAAACAGCCCTAGGATGGACAGGGAGATGTTTTGTCTGAAGGCTACCTCCAGGGCCTCCAAAATACCATCAGTTTATCTTTCAGTCAACAAATGTCCACCAAGCACATAGCATATACCCAAAATTCAGTTGTTCCCTATGAATACAGAATAAAGACAGTCTCCACCCCTCTACCAATCAGTTCTTAAACTCATGTGATGCTCCTCCATCAACTTACTGAGCAGATATTCATTCTTAGATAAATATTCATCTCTGAATCACCAGTTCTTGGTCCAAATTACCAGTACCAGAACCAGTTGCCATAGACTCAACTCTGACTCATGGAGATGCCATGTGTGCAGAGTAGAACTGTGCTGCATAGGGTTTGCAATGGCTAGTTTTTTGGAAGTAGATCACCAGACCTTTCTTCTGAGGCACCTCTGGGTGGACTTGAACCACCAACTTTTCAGTTAGCAGCCAAGAACATTAACCATTTACACCACCCAGGGACTCCTGGGACAAATTAGTTGCACAGAAAACAATATACTATTGCTATACTTACAGAGTTATCAGTCTAGTGAGGCCCTGTAAAGCTAATTGGTTTTAACTTGAATGCCCTAGGTGGTTTTGTTGTTGTTGTTGTTGTTGTTTTGTGCCTTAACTGAAAGTTTACAATTCAAGTTAGTCTCTCGTACAAAAATTTATACATACATTGGTTTGTGACCCTACTTGCTCTCCCTATACTGTGACAGCACACTCTTCCTTTCCATCCCAGATTTCCCATGTCCATTCAACCAGCTCCTGACCCTCTCTGCCTTCTCATCTCGCCTCTGGAAAGGAGGTGCCCATTTAGTCTCATGTATCTACTTGAGCTAAGAAGCATACTCTTCACAAGTATCATTTTTATGCCCCATAGTCCAGTCTAATCTTTATCTGAAGAGTTGGCCTCAGGAATTGTTTTAGTTTTGGACTAACAGAGAGCCTGGGGGCCACATTTTCCAGGGTCCCTCCAGTCTCAATCAAACCATTAAGTCTGGTTTATGTGGCCCTTTCTGTCTCTTGGAATGCTCTACATGTTTGAGGCAGTACTTTTGCAAATGAGGAAAGCATTTTGGAAAAGTTATAGTTCACTTGCTGCTTGATGAACAGACTTGGATCAATTCTCTGATAAACGAATTCATGCTGAGTTCTTAGGAACCTCAGGACCAAAAAATATTTTGATATGTTGGAAAAAGGTCCAAAAATGTTTGGTTATTCTCTAAAATAGTAACAACATTACTCTCAAAGCTTGGGTTGATGGACGACTATATTTTTATTTGTTTTTAGTTTCTGTTCACTAATGCATTATTTTTCTATCTGAATTTTATATTCTTTAAAAAGTATGGATCTTTTTATTCTAAAAATTATTTTTTTAGATTGTATGTATTGGTAAATTAAAATTTTCTAATGAACATTGTTGGAATACCTCCTTAAAAATAAAATGTTTTATTATAAATTACAAAAGAAAGGCCTAGAGCTGTGTTTTTCTAATAATATTAACAGCTAGCATTTACTGAGTGATTAGTATGAGCCAGGCGCTGTGCTAAGTACTTTATATACATAAAAAGTTTTAAATAGTAATTATTATTCATATCAGTATGATTCTACAAAAGCAGTTGCCATTGAGTCAACTCCAACTCATGGTGACTCTGTGTGTGTCAGAGTAGACTGTGCTCCATAGGGTTTTCAGTGGATGATTTTTCAGAAGTAGATAGCCAGGCCTTTCTTCCGAGGAGCATTTGGGCAGACTCAAACTTCCAACCTTTTGGTTAGTAGCTGAGTGCATTAACCATTCCCACCGTGATTCAACAACCCATACCTTTTTTATTAGGCTACACTGCCTCAAATGTTATTTATCACCTATGCAGTGTTCTTCTCAATGTTCTCCAACTTATCTCATGTCAATCTTTAATTTATTTGACCCCACCGTTCTCCAAGTAGAAGAGTCCTATTTCCTGGGCTTATAAAGCTCAAAGACAATGTCGTATATGGGAAAAAAAATTTTTTTTCCAAAGATAAGCTGCTTCCCTTATTTTAGAACAAGATCAATTAAATACTTGTAGTGGACTGTATGCTCAAAATTCCATTCATTCATTCAACAAAGATCCAACCAGGCCTTTGGGGGGAAATTGCAGGTTAAGTTCATTTTGTTCATTTATTTGTTTTGTTTTATTTAACTCATTCTCAGAACAGACTACAAATGCACAGCTGTTGTCCAATGTTCTTTTTCAAGTAGGATATTTTAAATATTCAGGCAAATCACTCAGACTTGAAAAAAATAAGTCAGTTGCCACAATATCATGAAAAATTCATAATCACTGAATACTATTATGTATGCTACCCAAACTAAGTGATAGGAAATGCTGAAAATGGTTCTTTTCTTCTTTCAGCTATGTTCTTATTGTTTTAATCTGTGTTGAAAAGATGATTTGTGGCCATTTAAATAATAAGCCTCTGTGTGTTATTTCACTATAATTTAAAATAAAGTTTCTAAAGTCAATTATGTATATGTAATATATATATATATATATATATATATATATATCAGTGTAGTTCTGTCAGCTTTCTCTTGGTTAGGATTTACCTAGCGTTCCACCACTCATCTGTCAGTTTGCCGTACTGTGACAGTTTGTGTGTTGCTTCGATGCTGGAAGCTCTGCCACCAGTATTTCAAATACCAGCAGGATCACTCATGGTGGACAGGATTCAGCAGAGCTTACAGACTGGGAAGATGGACCTGGCAATCTACTTCTTAAAAAATTGGCCAGTGATAACCTTATGAATAGTAGGGGAACATTGTCTGATATACTGCCAGAAGATAAGCCCCTCAGGTTGGAAGGCACTTAAAATACAACTGGCGACGAGCTGCCTCCTCAAAGTAGAGTCGACCTTAATGACATGGATGGAGTAAAGCTTTCAGGACCTTCATTTGCTGATGTGACACGACTCAAAATGAGAAGAAATAGCTACAGACATCCATCAATGATCGGAATGTGGAATGTATGAAGTATGAATCAAGGAAAATTGGAAGTTGTCAAAAATGAAATGGAACACTTGAAGATCAATATCCTAGGCATTAGTGAAATAAAATGGACTGGTATTGGCCATTTTGAATTGGGCAACCATATGGTCTACTATGCCATAAATGACAAATTGAAGCACAGCTTCACATTCATTGTCACAAAGAACAATTCAAGATCCATCCAGAAGTACAACACTGTTAATGACAGGATAATATCCATACACCTACAAGGAAGACCAGTTAATATGACTATTATGCAATTTATGCACCAACCACTAATGTCAAAGATGAAGAAATTGAAGACTTTTATGAACCTCTGTGGTCTGAAATTGATCAAACATGCAATCAAGATGCATTGATAATTACTGGTGATTGTAATGAGAAAGTTGGAAACAAAGAAGAATCACTAGTTGGAAAATGCAGCCTTGGTGATAGAAATGATGTGGGAGATCACATTGTAGAATTTTGCAAGATCAACTATGTGTTTATTGGAAATACCTTTTTTTTCAACATCATAAACGGCAAGTATACACGTGGACCTCACCAAATGAAATACACAGGAATCGAATTGACTACATCTGTGGAAAGAGATCATGGAAAAGCTCAATATCATCAATCAGAACAAGGCCAGAGGCCAACTGCAAAACAGACCATCAATTACTCGCGGAAGTTCAAGTTGAAGTTGAAGAAAATTAGAACAAGTCCATGAGAGGCAAAGTACGACCTTGAGTATATCCCACCTGAATTTAGAGACCATCTCAAGAATAGATTTGACACATTAAACACTAATGACCGAAGACCGGTGAGTTGTGGACTGCCAGAAGAATAAAGAAATCTGACTCGGGAGTAGAACAGCCAGAAAGCTCCTTAGAAGCAAGGATGGCAAGATTTTGTCTCATGTACTTTGGGCACGTTATCAGGAGGGATCAGCCACTGGAAAAGGACATCATGGTTAGTAAAGTAGAGAGTAAAAAGAGCAAAAAGAGGAAGGCCCTCAATGAGATGGATTGACACAGTGGCTGCAACAATGGGCTCAAACATAACGATCGTGAGGATGGTGCAGGACTGGGCGGTGTTTCGTTCTGTTGTACGTAGGATCAGTATGAGTCAGAACTGACTTGACGGCACCTAACAACAACAGTCAAAAGTTAGGGTGTCTTGTAGATCTCAAACTTGAAGTTGTCATCTGCCTATTTGGCAGTCTGAAAGACAGTGTCCCTTTAACTTGTGAGGTCTGACCTAGCTCCAGGTGGCTAGGGTCAGAAGTGAGGTAAGGTTGAGTGCCCTGAGCTTGCAGCTGATATCCTGAAGTGGTAGAGGAAAACCCTGAAACTAGCCAGCAGGTTAGAACTGAGGGTATCACATAGACTCCCAAACTTGCAGCTGGCATCTGCTTATTTGGCGGTCTGAAGGACAATGTCTTTTTACCTTGCGAGATCTGACCTAGCTCTGGGTGGCTAGGGTCAGAGAAAGGAGTGCCACATGAGCAGCTGGTTTCAAAACTGAATAGAAAAGTGGAAGAGCGATTATTTGATATCTTATAGTGAATTTAAAATGTATACATTGGCACAGTGATCAAACACGGTTTTCTACAACAAACATTTTGATACATGTAATTACCTATAGTAAATATTCTTAGGCTCAACTTTAAAATCTACAGTCCTTGAAACTATTAAAAATAGAACTTTCGATGTCTCAGGAATAGTTCTTCTTAGTAAACTTTGTTGTTGTTTTTAGTTACTGTAAAGTTGGTTCCAACTCACATAAACCTTACGTGTAACAGAATGAAATGTTGTCCAGCCTTGTGCTGTTCTCACAATAGTAGGTACGTTTGAGCCCATTGTTGCAGCCACTGCATCAATCCATCTGGTTAACAGTCTTCCTCTTTTTCACTGACCCTCTGTTTTACCAAGCATGATGCCTTTCTCCAGTAATTGACCCCTTCTGATGATGTGTCCAAAATAAGCAAGATGAAGTCTCACCATCTTTGCTTCTAAGGAGCGTTCTGAATGTACTTCTTCTAAAACAGACTTGTTCATTCTTCTGGCAATCCACGGTATAGCCAATATTCTTTACCAACATCACAATTCAAATGTGTCAATTCTTCGGTCTTTGTTTTTAACTCATCCAGCTTTCACATGCATATGAGGTAATTGAAAAGACCATGGCTTGGGTCACGTACACCTTAGTCATCAAAGTGACATCTTTGCTTTTTTAGATTTTAAATAGGTCTTTTGCCGCAGATTTGCCCAATGTAGTATGTCCTCTGATTTCTTGACTGCTTCCATGGGCATTGATTATTGATCCAAATAGAATAAAATTGTTGACAATTTCAATTTTTCTCCACTTATCATGATGTTGTTTATTGGCCCAGCTTTGAGGATTTCTGTTTTATTTACATCAAGCGTAATCCACACTAAAGTCTGTAGTCTTTAACTTTCATCAGCAAGTGCTTCAAGTTGTCTTCATTTTTGGCAAGCAAGGTTGTATCATCTGCATATCACAGGTTGTTAATGAGTCTTTCTCCAATCCTGATGCCGAGTTCTTCTTCATATAATCTGGTTTTGTTTCTTTTTAATAAAATATCTGACAAATACCTAAGTATGAACAACAACTGTTTATCTATCATTCTTTCAGGTTAAAAAAAATGATGTTCTTTAAAAAAAAAAAGTTCTTTCAAATTAAAAAAAAAAAAAAGTGTTTCCTGAGTTGGGAGCAAATTTATCATGTTTAAGAAACTGAAAAGAGTTCATTATGGCCAGACAGAGTGGACAATGCAGGGAGTGATGAAGTTGGAGAGACAAATCATGCAAAGCCTTATTGACAGAAGTGTAATGTTGGGATTTTCTTTCAAGTCTAAAGAAAACCACAGAAGGATTTTTACCAGGAAGAGTAGCAAAGTCACAAATCAATTTTTAAAGGATTACTCTATGCTTTATGGAAAGAGAGTGGAAGGTGTAGGAACTGAGGCAAGAGACCAATACAGAGGTGACTGCAGTCATTTGAGTAAGAGATGATGGTGATATAGACCAAGACGGTCGCCATGAAGATGGGAAGGCGTGGATGGGTTTGAGCTCCATGTTGGCAGAAGACAAGCTGAGACAGTAATGAAACTGTGTTTAAATATGAATTTATTTTTTCCCAGTTCATAAAGGAAGCCTGCAGTCCTATTCTCCTCAGCATCGCCAGTCTCCAGTCGGTCACAGTTCTCATGAGAATAAGCTACCCGATAAAAATACGAGCAGGAGAAAGCCTTTCTCCACCCTGTCTGGTGAAAAGGTAAAACAGACATTTCTCTGCCAAGTCTTTCTTGATGTGCTTAGCATCAAAATAGAGTTTATTGAACAGTGTCTAAAATGAAATGATGGTGATTGGCATTAATTGGTTTTTTCTGGCTACATTGTATTTGGTTTTTACACAATACCATCTGCTCTTTTACCAGATTCTTTACCTTGCATGTTACCAGATTCTCAAAGTATTTTTTCATTAATTCAAACAAATAGAGATATTTAAACATGTATTTTATATTTACGGTCTGTTCAAAAATCTTTTGGGGATAAACTAGGATTTACATATTTGCAATTCTTTTTCCAACAAACAATGGTCATATTACATACTCTTTTCATTTGAACAATCCAACAACCATTTACTGAGAAGCTATTACATGCCAGACAATGAGCTAGAGGATATAGTCCCTATCCCAGGGCGTATTTAAGGAGGGGAGAAATGCAAGCAGATAATAGATGTGTTCTTGTCAGCCTTTCATCTATTTCCTGTTCTCTTTCTCAAACATGCTAAATCCCTACTATCTGTTCTTGAACTAGTTTGTGCCCATATGGGGGTTAAAACTTTCTTTGTAGCTTGTATACTATTCTCTTTATCACTACCTATTAAAGTCTTTCCCTATAAAGTATTGAAGGCTATGCTTATTCTGTGTCTCCATCCCATCTCCTGTTACTGCTCAATGTCCTGCTGCCAAGTTCCTGGGAGTTTTTGAGCAGAAGCACAGTGTATAGGATATCTGGGGTCAATTCCTCATAACTCCTACAGTATCTTAAAAGTCTTTTGTATTTATATTTATTTCAACCTCAATTGTAAAAGGAGTCTCATGTTCTGAAATTAGACTTCGGGAATTCTTTTGCCATACTTCTTTTAACGCCCCTTTTTATATATATGCCTGGCTTTTTTTCCCTTTGCCATCTTCTTAAGAATTACCAGGACCCCTGGGTTCGAACTAGATGTCTGTTCAAAGTCACAGCCCCTGTCAGAGCCTGAGAGAGGCCTGGCCTAGATCAGGATTTCCCTGATTTCAGTTATTTGAATACTGGCATATTTGTGTACTGTTGATAATATTTACTTCCTATGCTTTAAGTTGACTCTTTTCACTTAAATAGATACATTTAAATAGAAACTTTATATTACTACTACAGACAAAAAAAAAAACAAACCAGTATTCTATATCACAGGTAGAAAGAAACTTTAAAAATAATTGTTGTGCAAACACAACGAGGCTATTAATTTGTAGCAGGATCCTGTTGCCTGCTAAAGCCTCTCAGCATAAGGATTGCTCTTCTCCTGTTAAAGGGCGAGATTAGAAATGTTCGATAGAAGGACATACTAGCACCAAAATGAAACATACTTCTGAATTGTGCAGAGGTACAGAAAGAGAATTGAAAGGGTGATGATGGTCCCCTCAGATGAGTCTGAGTTACTCAACACGGTGTTGAAACATCACCTAAACTCACCAGCCATCCCTCACGACCACACTTGGAGAAGCACAAGACTATAAAATCTCGAAGAGTTTTCCAGCTTGAACAAATAAATAAAAGCAGAGCATGTGAGATGCACCATGAGCCAGCCCCCACCAAGCCCCTGGGAAGGAGTTGTAGATCCACGGCACATCTCACTGACTGCCCTTCCTCCTCCCTGTTATCATGGGGTGGGTGAGCAAAAGAAATCCATTTAAAATAATTTAAAATCAATATAAATAAGGCAACATAAATAAGGGCAGAGAGCCAGACAGGCTAGAACTCAAATCCTAGGTCCACCATGTGTGACTTTAGGTAAGTACAAAAAGATGTTCTTAATCCACACCTGTCTCTCCCTCCCTACTGTTTGATGACTAGGGCAGCATAGGCTTCACAAACAATGTGCCTTCCACCTTCATAAGCTTTGGCAGGTGCAGCTTCAGAAAGCAGTGATAGATTGATGGCTTATCATCCATTCTGAGAGTGGTGGCAAAGGGCCCTTCCTCAACTGATGTGGTGAGATTTCTAGTTACTTCCAATGACAGACAGACTCAGTTAAGTGATCCATTCAGTTTCATAATTTCCAAGCTGTGGTTACTTTTTCTAACAAATCAGTCTTAAAGAAATACAATCAGAATGCTCCTTAGATTCGAGGATGGCAAGACTTTGGCTTGCTCATTTTGGACATGACATCAGGAAAGACCAATTGCTAGAAAATGACATCGTGGTTGGTAAAGTAGAGGGTCAGTGAAAATGAAAGAAACCTTCAATGAGATAGAATAACACAAGAGTCGAAACAATGAACTGATATATGCCAATGATCATGAGGATGGTATAAGACCAGTCAGCATTTATTGTTATACTTAAGGTCACTATGAGTCAGAGCCGACTTGATGGCAACTAACAGCTACTTCTTCTGTGTCCATTTTCCCCAAGCATCTGTGGGCTTTTCCAGATTCAGGGACTAGATTTGATTTACTGCATATCTATTATAAATCAAATTGTAATTGGACTGGTCAAATAAAATGTTAAATGGATGGATGGATGAGTTAGTACTTCCCTTTAACCTAAAATATTCATCATTGAACCTGGACTGCAGGATGCCCAGCACCACGACTGGTACATTGGAGAATGTAGTCGCCGGGCAGTAGAAGAGGCATTAACGAAGGAGAACAAGGTAACTCCCTCTCTGGGCCCATTGTCTTTCTTTCTGTTGTCATCTTACGGTTTTCATCCCAGATGTCACAGAATGTCACAAGACTGTGCTTTGATGTAGCGGTGTCTGTATCACCCTGTATTTCTCAATGCTAGGAAGGTTGTAATTAAAAAGGGAATTTATTATGCAGAGTTTCAGATTGGAGGCTTGGTTGTGCCACTTACCACTGTGTTATTTTCTCACGCTCCTAAATATCTTTGAGTGTAAACCCAAAACCAAACCCAATGCCATCAGTGTTACAGAGTAGAACTGCTCCATAGAGTTTTCTTGGCTCTAATTTTTACAATGTAGATCACCAAGCCTTTCTTCCATGATGCTGCAGGGTGCATTCAAATCACCAACCTTTAGGTTAGTAGTTGAGCACAAACTTCTTGTGCCACCCAGGGACCTATATCTTTAATTACAGCTTTCTTTACTTGAAAATGGAGACAGTAAAGTCAACCGTCAGGAACTTTTTTGAAGATCAAATGTGGAGATCAGGGTATACATGCACGTCACCATCATTGTATCTTCCTTGCTTTCTTCCCATTTCATCTCCTTCCTAAAAGTCTGCCCAAGTTACAGTGGTGTCTTTACATCATGCCTTCAGCAAGAAAGGAGCAGGAATTGTGAGCACTGTAACAGTCAGGATGAGATAAGTTATGCTGTAGTAACAACCCCAACATCTCAGTCATTAGCAAAGCAAAACTTTGTTCCTTGATTATATCCATGCTCAAGGCAGGTTTGCAATGGCAGACCCAGGCTGCTGAGGGCCCCATCTCAACGAGTGCTTCCACCGATCACACACTGTCTCTTAACGCATTCTTTTGAAGTAACATACGTCACCTCTGTTCACATTTCATTGGCCAAATAAGTCACATGGACAACCCAACTTTAAAGGGAAGTATAAACCTACATGGTGACCAAAAGGAGGGGAGAACTGGAATATGTTTGATTAGGTTAAGTGTCTTGGTTTCTTAGTGCTTCTGTAACAGAAATACTACACATGGGAGGCTTTCAAGAAGAGAAATTTATTTTCTCACAGTTCAGAAGGCTAGAAGTCTGAATTCAGGACATGGTTCTATGGGCAGGTCCTTCATTGTATATTCCAGCTTCTAGTAGCCAGCAACCTTTGGCGTTCCTGGGCCTGTAGATGCATCCTCTGTGTGTGTCTGTCTTCATATGTTGTCTTCTCCCTGTGAGTGTCTCTGTGACTATTCTGCTCTTTTAAAAGTACATTTTGTAGATGAGGAAACTGAGGCTAAACCAAGGTCCAAGTTGTATAGTGGAGAAAGTGGCAGAACCAGTAGTCAAGACTGGGCTTTTTCCACAAAATCACAGCTGCTTCCAGCAGCCATTACGGTCTTTACATCTGGGTAGGGACCCTCCCCTCCCTCACCGTAGTCCTGCCCTGGAGCATCGTCATGGTTTACTTCTGTCATGGCAGCAAGTCAAGAGCAGTGGCGCTGGACCTGCAGTGACCAGGCCTCCAACCATGTCTCCTTTCTTATCAGCACCAAATGAGCCACTGCACTCTCTGAGCCTGATTCCCATTGGAAAAGTTACTTTCAGAAGCCCTGCTTCTGGAAATGGATGTGCAATTGTGGTAGAAAAGCAACATGTATGTCACCGAATGTCCTCAGTAAATGCTCCCTTCCCTCTCCTTCTGTATGCTTGCCTCTGCCTCTTCCCAAAAAACACTGAGAAAATAGAATCTCTGTTCAATGACTTGACATTTTCCTTTTCTGTTTGTCTCAGTTAGTTCTGTCGAAATGTGTTTCCCATTCATGAAATATAATTTAAATTGTAACATTGCCGAGATTCATTTGACAAACTCATTGCAGAGTTTAAGATGATAAACACAAAAACCAGTCATGAATCTTGACCTTCTCTCCATTTCTGATCTTTGGCAATGTTCTGTGCTTGAGTGTGAGGACTCAAATTATGCCTGAGGGTTCCAGGCAGAAGAAGTCCCAGAAAATCCATCAATCCCACTTTATATACTCCAAGTCTGACATAGCTAAAGAGCAAGAATTTGGCTTCCAGAAAATCCCTCAATCCCACTTTATATACTTGTGAGTCTGCTGTACCTAAAGAGCAAGAATTTAGGTTTGGCTTTTAGATTATTCTGTTTACTAGCTGTGAAGCTTAAGGAAATTCACATAAGCTGTTAGTATCTAATTCCTTCACCTGTAAAATGGGGATAAACGTCCTCGAAGTTTATGTTACTAACAAGTAAGATAATATGTGCAAAGCCCTTGAAACCTTGAGAATAATTCTCAATAAACCTTAGCTGCCAGCATCATCGTATATCACTATAGTTATTGTTATTAACATTATTGCATAGACTAGATGTATGTTACTTACTATATATTCTTTATAGATCATTTATAACCATGTATACAACAATCTACACGATAATTGTTACAAAATTTTCAGTATTTTTCATCATATAAGTACAATGTAATCATAAAACAAAACCTTGCAGGTGTGTTTATGTTCAGGAGGATTATTGTTTCTTAGACTTTACAACCAGGCTTTTATCCTGAACTATTCCTTGGAGTGGAGTCTCTGGGTGGTGCAAACAGTCAATGTACACAGCTGCTAACTGAAAGGTCAGAAGTTTGAGTCCACCCATAGGTGGGTGGGAAGAAAGGCCTGGAGATGTACTTCTGAAAAACCAGCCATTGAAAACCCTATGAAGCACAGTTTCACTCTGACACACACCAGGTCACCACGAGTTGAAGTCAACTCAATGGCAGCTGGTTTTTTATTCCTTGGAGTGTGCCTGATCCATAGCTTATTCTCAGTTCTCAGAACATTTGAATCTGTTGAGCTTCTTTTGGAAGCCCTCGCTTATCACCCCTTGGCTTCTGTGGTACCGTAGTCACTTGGTGTACCATCTATCCCTGAGACATCTCAGATTCTTTTCCTGTCTTCTCCTCCTTGCCCTGCCCCCAGTCTTCACCTCACCCCAGGCAATATTTTTCCTTCTCCCTCATTTTGATATCAATGACTCCCAAACCCCAGGCCTCTTTCCTGGACCCTATTTCTGCATGGGAGGACCTCTCCCCACACTGAGGCTCAATCTATTTTGCTAAAACCCTCCCCCGCTCAAAGCCTGTGGTGGCTCCCACTGTCTCTAGAATAATGCCTGAACATCTCAGGCAGAAAAGGAAGTATCTGAACATTCACAGATGAAAGGGAGAACACTGGGGAGGTGGGGAGGAGGATTTCTCTATGCAGAAAGTGTAAAAAAAAAAAAAAGTTGCCATTGAGTCAATCTGACTCATGGTGACCCTATATGTGTCAGAGTAGAACTGTGCTCCATAGGATTTTCAATTGCTGATTTTTTAGAAGTAGATTGCCAGGTCTTTCTTCCTCAGTGCCTCTGGGTGGACTCGAACCTCCCAATCTTTCAGTTAGTAGTCAAGCATGTTAACCGTTTGCACCACCCAGAGACTCCATGCAGAGAGTGTAGCATGGGCAAAAGCAGAGACTCCCAAACAGATGATGCCTTTAGAAAATGGTAGTTTGGCTGGAGGTAGGATCCGGGCACAGGAGGCTGGAGGAGTGATGAGAGAGAAAACCACAAGGCAGGCTGGTGCAATTATCCATGAACGTTGTGCTAAGGTTTCTGGCAGTACCCTGAGGACAATAGAAATGATGGAAGATTTGGATGAAAGGAGCAGCATGACCTGTGACACACTTCTCCAAAAATAACAAGATGCCTTACGCATACTGAAACTTGAGAAATACTTACTGAACTAAATTGAGTAAAGAACTGGTTTGCCAAACCCTACAGCAGTTAAGGAATCTCATAATGAACATCACTGTCCCACCATTGTGGTGGCGGGGTCCTTTCAGGCCGGTGAAGATAACCATCATTCTTTCTGCTTCAGGATGGTACTTTCTTGGTCCGAGATTGTTCCTCGAAATCCAAGGCGGAGCCCTACGTTTTGGTGGTGTTTTACGGAAATAAAGTCTATAATGTGAAAATCCGCTTCCTGGAGAGGAATCAGCAGTTTGCCCTGGGGACAGGACTCAGAGGAGATGAGGTGGGTATAACTTACTGCTCCCCTTTTCCAGGCTACAGACAACCAATAAGGAGAGAGTTTGGGGAATGCTGGCTGAAGTCATCTTTCCTTATCTCCATGACTGCAGGAGGTGGAGAATGTAATCTAGTCCTTCCAGCCCCTTCCACAGACATCCTTGCATATAGCTTACCCTTCAGCACAATAGGCCAGCGACCAGTCCCTGACCATTCTGTGTGCCTTCCTTACTGCTTTTCCTATTAAAGCAAACTCATTTTGTAAGGCCCAGCTAAATTCACCTCCCAGGAAGTCTTCCTTGACACCCATAAATGCCACATTCCTTCACCTCTCAGGTGCTGAACTCTCACTGCAGGTATTTCTGACTCCCTTTAGCAAGAGTTGCCTGTAGGTTTGGGTCCCTGTACAGCTTGAAGACTAACATGTGCCTGACCCAAGCCATGGTGTTTTCAATCACCTCATATGCAAGTGAAAGCTGGAGGGGGAATGAGGAAGACCAAAGAAGAATTGATGCCTTTGAATTCTGGAGTTGGTGAAGAATATTGAATATACCGTTGACTCAACAGCAACCAACAATACTGATGAAACTAATTCTATACAGCTTTCATGTGAATACGAGGAGATTGAAAACACCTTGGCTAGGGTCAGGTGCACGTTAGTCCTTAAAGTGACATCCTTGCTTTTGAACACTTTAGTCTTCAAGGCGACATCTTTGCTTTTTAACACTTTAAAGAGGTCTTTTGCAGCAGATTTACCCAATGCAGTATGTCTTTTGATTTCTTGACTGCTGCTTCCATGGGTGTTGACTGTGGATCCGAGTAAAATGAAATACTTGACAACTTCAATCTTTTCTCTGTTTATCATAATACCGCTTATTGATCCATTTATGAGGATTTTCATTTTCTTTATGTTGAAGTGTAATCCATACTTAAGGCTGTGGTCTTTGATCTCCATCAGTAAGTGCTTCAAGTCTTCCTCACTTTCAGCAAGCAAGGTTATGTCACCTGCATGTCGCAGGTTGTTAATGAGTCTTTCTCCAATCCTGGTGCCCTGTTCTTCTTCATATAGTCCAACTTCTCAGATTATTTGCTCAGCATACAGATTAAATAAGTATGGTGAAAAGATACAACCCTGACACACACCTTTCCTGACTTTAAAACATGAAGTATCTCCTTGTTCTGTTTGAACCACTACCTCTCGGTCTGTGTACTGGTTCCTCATGAGCACAATTAAGTGTTCTGGAATTTCCATTCTTTGTAATGTTATCCATAATTTGTTATGATCCACACAGTGGAATGCCTTTGCATAGTCAATAAAACACAAGTAAACATCTTTCTGGTATTCTCTGCTTTCAGCCAGGATCCATCTGACATCAGCAACAATATCCCCTTCTGAATCTAGCCTGAATTTCTGGCTGTTCCCTGTGGATGTGACTGCTGCAACAGATTTTGAATGATTGTCAGCAAAATTTTACTTGTGTGTGATATTAATGATAGTGTTTGATAATTTCCACATTTGGTTGGATCATCTTTCTTCGGAATAGACACAAATATAGATCTCTTCCATTCTGTTGCCCAAGCACTGTCTTCCAAATTTCTTGGCATAGGCAAGGAGCACTTCCAGCACTGCATCAGTTTGTTGAAACATCTCCATTGGTGTTCCGTCAATTCCTGGAGCCTTGTTTTTTGCCAATGACTTCAGTGCAGCTTGGACCATTGGTTCCTGATGGTTGAACATCAACCAATTCTTTCTGGTACAGTAACTCTGTATATTCCTCCCATCTTCTTTTGATGCTTCACACGTAGTTTAATATTTTCCTCATAGAATCCTTCAATACTGCAACTTGAGGCTTGAATTTTTTTCTTCAGTTCTTTCAGCTTAAGAAAGACCAAGTGTGCTCTTCCCTTCTGGTTTTCGATCTCCTAGTCTTTGCACATTTTGCTACAATATTTTATTTTGTCTTCTCGAGCCACCCTTTGAAATCTTCTGTCTAACTCTTTTACTTCATTATTTCTTCCATTTGCCTTAGCTAACTCTACATCAGGTTTAAACGTGTATAATTTAATGAGTCCAATTTCGTATCTCCAGTCTTCAATGACATCTTGCTTTGTGTGAAACCAGAATTTTCACACAGCTTCTTCAGAGTGAGTGCACATCTCGGACTGTTTTACACCAATTAGCTAAACTGTTCTTCAATAGACACCAAAAAAGAGAATGTTGCCAGGGCTACCAACATGCTTCAGGTAGTCCGGTGGGTAAAAATCATACAGCAGGCTGCATGAAGATTCCAGCTGAAATCCAGTCTCCAATGCACCACTGTTGGGGTCAATTCCCCCAGCCTTTGCTGCAGCCCAGGCATGTTTTAGCATGAATGAGGGCATGAGTGAATAAATAAGTTAGCAAGTAAATCTGCCAAACACAATCCCTTTAAGAAAGTGTTATATGAAAACTAAAGAGAGAAGTAGCCAATTTTTCATCTTGTTATGATAATTACTGAGTTAATAAAGGTAAAGCACTCAGAAAATTGCCTGGAATATATGAAGCCCAGGATAATTGTTAGTTATTACATTTTTATTGTCATTACTGTATCATTTTAATAACTAGGATATAATCTTCAACTAGATATCTGTGGTTAGTGGACTTTGCAACCCAGTATCCTGTAATTCCTCTCTATCATCTTTGAGCTCATAGAATTTCTCATTTTAAAAAAAAAAGCTTTTTATGCCTTTTAAATGCTTGGGGTTAATGTGTCCTTTTCCTTAGAGAATTAAGAAATGAAAATTGCATGGCCTGACACGTGCCAGTCCCTCTGTGAGATGCTGTTTAATTTTTCTCTCACATTTTGTCCTCACAAAAGCACCAGAAAGGACATATTGTTGGACCTCTTTTACCATCAAGGAAACTAATAAGGGATACAGCTTATTTCCCCTAACATATTATACTTTGATCTGCTAATAAAAGAGCCCCACAAATGACCGAAGACCAGACAAGTTATGGAGTGACATCCAGGACATCATACATGAAGAAAGCAAGAGGTTATTAAAACGACATGAAAGAGAGAAAAGATCAAAATGGATGCCAGACAGGCTCTGAAATTTGCTCTTGAATGTAGAGTACCTAAAGCAAACTGAAGAAATGATGAAGTAAAAGAGCTGAACAGAAGTTTCCAAAGGGTGGCTCCAGAAGACAAAGTATTATAATGACATTTGCAAACACCTGGAGTTAGAAAACCAAAAGCGAAGAGTGTGCTCAACATTCACTAAGCTGAAAGAACCGAAGAAAAAATTCAAGCCTCAAGTTGAAATAGTGAAGACTTCTATGGGCAAAATACTGAACAACGCAGGAAGCATCAAAACAAGATGGAAGGAATACACAGAGTCACTGTACCAAAAAGAACTGGTCGACTGTCAGTCACTTCAGGAGGTAGCATATGATCAAGAACCAATGGTACCAAAGGAAGAGATCCAAGCTGCACTGAAGGCATTGGTGAAAAATAAGGCTCCAGGAATTGATGGAATACCAATTGAGATGTTTCAATAAATGGATGCAGCACTGGAAGTGCTCACTCATCTATGCCAAAAAATTTGGAAGATAGCTGCCTGGCCAACCCACTGGAAAAGATACTTATGCCTATTCTAAAAAAAGTTGTTCCAACCAAATGAAGAAATTATCAAACAATATCATTAATATCACACGGAAGTAAAATTTTGCTGAAAATCATTCAAAAGCAATTATAGCACTACATCCACAGGGAATTGCCAGAAATTTATACCAGATTTAGAAGTGGAGGTGGAATGAAGGATGTTGTTGCTGATGTCAGATGGATCCTGGCTGAAAGCAGAGAATACCGGAAAGATGCTTCCCTGTGTTTCACTGACTATGCAAAGGCATTTGACTGTGTGGATCATAACTAATTATGAATAATATTGCAAAGAATGGGAATTCGGAACACTTGCGCTCATATGGAACCTGTACAAAGACCAAGAGGCAGTTGTTCAATCAGAACAAAGGGATACTGCATGGTTTAAAATCAGGAAAGGTGTGTGTCAGGGTTGTATCCTTTCACCATACTCATTCAATCTGTATGCTGAGCAAATAATCCTAGAAACTGGACTATAGAAGAAGAACAGGGCAAAAGGATTGGAGGACAACTCATTAACAACCTGCGTTATGCAGATGATACAACCTTGCTTACTGAAATTGAAGAGGACTTGAAGCACTTACGGATACAAATCAAAGACTACAGCCTTCTGTATGGATTACACCTCAACATAAAAGAAAACAAAAATCCTCACAACTGGACAATGAACAAAATAATGATAAATGGAGAAAAGATTGAAGCTGTCAAGGATTTCATTTTACTTGGATCCACAATCAACACTCGTGGAAGCAGAAGTCAAGAAATCAAACAACATATTGCATTGGGAAAATCTGCTGCAAAAGATTTCTTTAAAGTGTTAAAAAGCAAAGATATCACCTTGAAGACTAAGGTGGGCCTAACCCAAGCCGTGGTGTTTTCAATCACTTCAGATGCATGCGAAAGCTGGACAATGAATAAGAAAGACCAAAGAAAAATTGACGCCTCTGAATTATGGTGTTGGTAAAGAATATTCAATATACCATGGACTTCCAGAAGAACGAACAAATCTGTCTTGGAAGAAGTACAGCCAGAATGCTCCTTAAAAGCAAGGATAGCGAGACTTAGCCTCACATTCTTTGGACATGTTATCAGGAGGCATCAGTCCCTGGAAAGAACATCATGCTTGGTAAAGTAGAGGTCAGTGAAAAAGGGGAAGACCCTCAATGGGATGGATTGACACAGTGGCTGCAATGGGCTCAGGCATAACAAAGATCATGAGGATGGTGCAGGACCGGGCAATGTTTCATTCTGTTGTACATAGGGTCGCTATGAGTCGGAACTGACTCAATGGCACCTAACAACAACAACAACATTAAAAGAGACCGTAATAACATCATAAAAAGCCTGTAAACCAGTTGCCATCAAG